AAGAAAAATGAACAGAAAACAAAAACAAAATAAAAAACAGGAACGAGCTAAAAAATGTGGCATGCAACGCCTTGATGTCTTCTTCGACTCTTTGCCAGAAAGAGAGAGCCCAGCCCGGCCCAGGTCTGGGTCCGGGACCCGAGGCCGAGGCTGAGGCTGAGGCACAGGCGACGTCTTCATTAAAACAACAAAACATTTATGCGCCGCTTTGGCATGTCGATCGGAGCTGGTAGATCGTTTGAGGAGAGCATTTCGTCATGGCCAAGCACTTGGGGCAAAAGTTGGTAGAAAGCAAGCACAGCAGAGGCAAGAGGCAACAGGCGTGAGGCTTGAGGCATGAGGCATGAGGCAGGAGGCAGCATGCAGGTTGCATGAGGCAACAACTGGCAACATCGTAACAAGATGCGTAAAAATTATTGATTTTCTTTGACTTGATTGTTGTTGGCTATCAAAATTTAATCATAACATGCACAAGAACACGAGACGTGCCACAAGAGGAGGAGGGGGAGGAGGAGAAGGAGGAGACTGGAACAGTTATGGGGCATGGGGTACGAGGTACGAGGTACGGGGCTGTATCTGCCGATCGGCTAGCATGTTGCCAAGTTAACCACTTCCACTTGAATTTTCAATTTTGCATCGCAACAGCGGCAAAGTAATTTGCCGCGTTGACGTGCCTGGCGTGGCAGATGAGCAATGACCCAAGAATGGACCCTGGCCCCAACCCCCAACCCCCCAACCCTGAACCCCGATCCAGAACCCAAAACCAGATCGAACCTCTCAGTAAAAACAGAGTGAGACAGAGAGAGAGAGAGACGGGGAGAGAGTGTGTGTGCGCTGTGTGTATCTTGGAGGGAACGCTCGTCGTGTCGATCAATTCAGTTTAATGCAAACAACTCATATAAATTCATGTGCCCTGGCCCGGCTCTGTTGTTGTGCTGCCCTGTTTGCAACTGTTGCAACAGCCGGAGACGGCAGAGACGGAGCCAGCGACGAGCAAAGTGCAAAGAAATTCATTAAATTAAGTGCCACACATTTGTGGCCCACTGTGCCGGTGTCTTTTCAGAAGGAACCCAACCAGCCGATGCCCAACCGATTGCGGTTATTATTGCACTCTCCGCAAGCAACTGGAAACCTGAGCTGAGCACCGGGACCGGGACAAATTACTAGGAGCACCACCCGTAATGAGCATTGTTCGGGGTGTCTTTTGTAATAGTTTTGATAGGGCAGGCGGTTTCTCTGGGCTTTCCCCCTAGAAAAGATAATTATGGTGGGGTTTTATTGATCAGAATTGGGGGGAAACTTAAGACCCCCCAGAGAAACCAGCGAAGCACAGAGACCTCTTAGAGAGAAGTTCCCTCATCCGACGATTACTTACAATGTTTTTTTAGTTGGACCTCCCGGAGATCCACTAGAGAGCTTATTTTTAACCTTGCAATACATATCCGATATGTATGTAACTGCAACCCCGCTCAGCTTCCCACGTTCTCCAGGACTCCTTTTAACACACAATTTAACACACTCCAACTCCAACTCTTTTGGCAGTTCGATTCCAAGTGTTAAGCTGCGCGAAATCTGGGCGAGTTGGACCATCAATCCATCAATAAGCCCAAAACTAAACGCCTTTGACAGGCACTGAAAAGTGTCCAACAAACAAGCAAAAAAAGGGGTTACAAAATAAACGATAGAAAACAAAAAACAAAAAAAAAAAAACAAAACCAAGTAGAAGGCCGTGCAAAAGAGCGTTGTGTCAGGGGCGCGTGTCCGTGTCTGACTTTATGTCTAATTTTCGGGTACATTTTTTATGTATTCGCTTGCATTGATGAGATCCTGGGGGTTGACTTCGATTCGGGAACCGAACAAAAAACGTAGCAAGAGGGTCACATAATTAGCAGCCCTAATAGACGCTGTGGCCTGGCGTCCCATTTTTTTTTGCCGCCTGATTTTTCATTTTTTTTTCATTCAACTTTTTGGGTGTTTTATTTGCATTTTGTTGTCTGGGCAGGGCAGAAGCAAAAAGGCAAATCAAATCATGTGACAAGTTTCTAATGAACCTCAGAAGGTGCCTTGCCCGCCCTGCCGCTGGGTTCCCATTCTGTGTCCCATCCTGACATTTGTGTGGCCTATAAATGCTAATGAGCCTCAGCCCCTCACATTTTTTTTATTGGTATATTTTTTTTGGTTTTCGTTTTGGCTCCTGCTGCTGCTGCTGCCAGTTTCAATCTACATTTTTTATAGATTTTTACGGGCATTTTTTGGGTAATTTTTTGTGGGTCGTTTGGAGGTGGAAAGTGTGCCAGGGGCACGGGTCGGGCCCGAGGACCAGATTTGATGCGGCGCTGATGCTCGTTTTTTGGCCATCGCCACCGCCGCTGCCGCCGCTGCTCAACGTTATGGCTGTAGCAGTGCCAGTGCCAGTGCCAGTCCCTGGGCTGATGTCCTTGTGCTCATCATCATTGTCGTCCCGAGGGCCTCCTTCCTTTCATTCCACCATCTCTCTGCTCATCTGCGTGTGCATTTTGTTCCACTTGAGTTTGTTTGTTTAACGACCTTTGAAATTAGGCAAAACTAAGGGCCAAAAGGATGTCCTAGGCTGCCTTTGGCTCCTGGTGTTGGGTTTGGGGTTGGACAGCAGCGGCAGCAGCAGATTAGTGAACAGAGAACAGCAATTTATACAGTTTATATGCAAATGTTGTTGTCGATCGCCTCCAGTCCCGCCTCCTGTCTCTGACTCAGATTCTGATTTAGATTCAAATTCTGTTGGAGGGAGAATGTGAGTGAGGAGTCCCTGTGTGCACATTTGCTGGCCTAATTAAAATTGGGTTAATGTTTTTAATTAGCCAAGAAAGGAACAAGCAACAAAACACAACTCAAACTGACAGAGGGATGAACTTTATGAACTTTTCTGTTCACCGAATAACTAAATAGATTCCCTGTATATGTACATATGTATGTATGTATGTATGTATGTGTGGAATGAATTATTGAAATCTTTATTGAATTATACAGTTAGATACTCCACTCTTTTTTCGGTACTTCAAAACGATGATGAGAGTCTTCTTTAAAGATTTCATTAAATGGAACTCAGTATTCCCGTATTTAATGATGGTTTCAGCCCACTTTCTTCAATCTTCATTTATTAATGGAAAGGAAATAATAATAATAAATAACAATAATTCTTTAGTTCTTTTCACTGATCTTTAAATTAAATAAATAAATAAAAAAATAAAAAAAATCAATCTTTAAATTCAATATAAATATCCCTGGATCCCCGGAGGTAAATTTCTTGTTCTTGGCAACAGAAATCACCGCATAATAGATCTACTCTAATTGTCTTAACCATTATCTGGCACGCCCACAAATCTCGTATCGATTTTGGGCTCCCTCCTCTCTCCGGCTCGTTTAACCCGAAAAAAAAAACAAAATCCAGTCGGATGGAATGAGTTCGGTTCATTCATTTGCAGTTCCAGTCGCAGTTCCAGTTGGGAATCTTCGTGGCAAATTAGGTACACAAAGCCCCCAAATGTTGCTGCACTGCAAAACTATGCCACACGAGGCACAAGGCCCCCTGCCATCCCTTCCCCTCCTGCTGATGCTGCTGCTCTAACAAGATGAAAGTCGAGTCGAGTCGAGAGTCAGAAAGTCAACAAAAACCATAATTCAGATAATTTTATTTATAACACCCTTGAGGAATTATATTTTATTTACTCTTTCAAGTGTGATGATGAGGCCGCTGAGGCAGGGGCAGGGCAGGGTGCAGGGCATTGTTGCTTTGTTGCTTGGACCGATGTTACCGATACGGAGAGATATACTCGTACCCGAAACAGTTCTTGCCAGGGACCACGGACCAGGGAGCAGGGACCAGGGACCTGCCCCCTTTTGTTGTTTCTGTGTGTGTTTTGGTTGTTGCTCTGCTCGCTGAACTCTATGAAATGTCTGGGTCGTGTCAATCGAGGGGTTGAATCCCAGTGTATCCCAGGGACGGTGACGGGGTAGTGGGGGGGGGGATGGACTATAACTCTGTCCGTCTGTCTGTGTAGCACTCCTCTCCTTTGCTTTCCTTTCCTTTCTTCGATTTGCTAGCAGATGTGTTTGTAAATTGTCAAAATCTGTGTGCATTTCATATGTACGTATGTACATATGTATGTACGAGTATGAAAATCACGTAGCAGCAGCATAAAGGGATTGCTGGTTCCTTAGGGCGGGAGGGGGGTTGAATGCAACTTGTCCAAGGTGGCGCCACCCGCTGTGCCTGATGATGTTGCGCCTGTGGCTTGCGGTCTGCGGTTAGCCTTCCTTTCCTGTCGTTTCGGTTTGGTTCGGTTCTTCCCCACCTAATTGGCTAGTCAGCAGAAATTTTTGCAATTAAATTTCACTTAAAACTGCAACTCGTAAACGGAGCAAAACCCCAGCCCCCCAAGTAGGGGCTGCTGCTGCTGCTGTCCCATGTACGGCGTAATTTACTTCCGCAATGAAGCTTTAAACATATCCGAGAACACCGACCAGACCCACCAGCAACACCCACCACTTCCTAATTGTGAAAACCAATTTGCGCTGCTATAAATTAGAAAGACAAACGACGGGCTCCCCGGCAATGCCAATGGCAATTTCAAAAGGCTACGTCTGTGGCTTCGGATGCCACTGGGGTGGTGGGGTAGGGTGCCATATGATATGGTGCACCATTAGGCAGTTGGAGGCGTGGCTCCTGGGCCTCAGTTCCTGTTCCGTTGCTGTTCCTGGCTGTTTCGCCTTCCTGGGGCTGCCTCGTTCGGGCCGTTTGCATATCTTGGAAAATTTGCATAAATAGACTTTAATTGTTTGCAATTATAAAACGAGACCGAAACGATGTTCTGCAACCACCGCCGCCGCCCCCATTCTTAGGGGGACCGGGCCCCTCTCTCCGCGCAGGCAACTAGTCAATTATGCCTGCCCGGCAACGCCTCTGCCCCACGCCCCACATTTCCGATCTAATCTATTTGTATGTACCTTGCCCCCAATTTCAGAATATGCCCCCAACCAACAACAGCCGTCCCTTGGCCAGGAGGAGGACGAGACGGCCAGCGAGGAGAGCAGCAATGCACGCGCCCAACCCGATCCTGCACCCAGTCCGGATGCAGACCCCACTGCCGATGCCGATGGCGATGCCTCAAAGCGGCGACGGTGCCGCACCAACTTCAGCTCGTGGCAACTGGAGGAACTGGAGCGAGCATTCCTCAGCAGCCACTATCCGGATATCTTCATGCGCGAGGCCCTGGCCATGCGCCTGGACCTCAAGGAGGGACGGATAGCGGTGAGTGGACGAAGGGTAAAGGTTACGAGACAGCTTAAGCACGAAGAGACTTTATATTCCATTCATTTCTTTCCTTGAAAGGAATCCCTTATCGATAGGATAGATACATAGATAGATAGATAGATAGATAGATAGATATTCTTTTAATCATCCTTATTCTTTTGTCCGCCATCCGCCATCGTTCGTATCCCTCGCTCCCCAAACGACTTTCAGTCGTATAGCCGTATAGCCGTATACCCGTATTGCCGTATTCCCGTATTGCCGTATTACCGTATCCGTGTCGTTGCCTTCGATGGCATTCGCGTGATGGCATTGTAAAACAATTTGGTGGCAACTGGAACTCAATTACTCAATAAAACCAATTACCTGACTATTTTTATTCATTATAATTCATTTTATTTCATTTGCAATTGCGTTTCGTGTCGCTTGTTGTTGTAATGATTTCAATTGGATTCCATTCCATTCCAGTCCCCAAAGCCAGAGTCACAGCCAGAGCCAGAGGCAGAGTCAGAGCCATAACCATAGCCAGAGTCAGAGGCAGAGCATAACCCTTGCCTGCCTTTGGATACTCCACTCCACTCTCCACTCCACTCCACTCCATGGTCTGACTTTGCATGTCAGTCGTGTGATTATCGTAGTAGGTCTTTGTCTCCTTCTCTATCTCCTTCTCGACTGTCACTGTCTGTCTCTTTCTGTGTCCCTGTCGCCGTGAGTGGGACATTTGGCTACGCTTTTTGTCTGAAATTGTTTCTTGACATGACATATCAATTTGTCAATGCGAACGACAAGACAAGACAGCGACAGTCAGTCATTCGGTTCGTCCGTCCGTCCGTCTGTCCCTCTCTCAGATGGGATGGCATAGGAGGGCAGGGAGGGGGAGGATCACAAGTAGGGGTAGGGGGTAGGGGGTAGGGGTACAGGGTGCATATGGTGCCTGGGTGCACAGTGCAGGTCTCTCGCTAGTTAAAGCTCAGGCCTGCAGTGTGCATTGCATGCCGCTGTTCAAAAACAATTTGTTGCACATTAAAAAAGTGCACAATGCATGCAAATGACTTCAAATTGACACACAGACAGAGACGGAGAGAACAAGAGAGAGACAAGAGAGAGAGAGAGAGAGGACAGACAGACAGACATTTGAATGGTTGTCACCGCCATGCGACACACACAACGCCCACGGGCCACGGCCCATGGATCAGCCATCAGCCACCAGCCCCCAGCCCCCAACCCCCCTCAACTAACAAAAACAACACACACACTAGAGCCCCGTTACGCTTGAGTCCCCCCACAAACAGCATGTCAATTAGCGACGCCATCTTGTTCGACATTCATGACTCCAACTAACCAAAGCCTCCACCACCAACATCAACAACATCATTGTCTCCACCATCATCATCATCATCATCATCACATCATCATCATCATCATCGGTATTGGCTTGGAACTGTTGTCATGATCCACATACATACATATGTATTGCCCTTGGAAAAACCCCATTGAAAAGTGTGGTCAGCCACATCTAATGACATTTAGTGGCTACCTATTGCCCGATGATTACTCTTAGTACTGCTTCTTAATAACACTCCAGACGCCACACTCCAGAGTCCACATTCAGTCTTCACTTTATTCCAGTGTCCATTTATCAAGAGTCCATCCTTTTATCATATGCAAATTATGTAAATATTTTCTATATTCCATACGTTTGTTCTCGATTGAGCTCGATCAGCTGCACAGCCCAAGGAAATATCTTGCTTTTTGTGCCGCTTCTGCTATTGCCCCACATAGCCATGCCCATGCAACTATCAAAGTCGTACACTTCCCAGCTCACATCCATCCATCTATAGTGTAGAATCACCTTCAGCCCTAGAGATGAAATCTCTATGCATCTCTCCCTCTCTATATCTATAGATGGCTAAGTCTTGGTGACTTTCTTTGGCACTCACTTGGCTGTTCTTGTTGATCTTTTATCCTGCATATGCCTGCACTTAATGCTAATCCCAATCGTTTACTTTTATTGCAGGTCTGGTTTCAGAATCGTCGCGCCAAGTGGCGCAAGAAGGACCACACCAAGAAGGGTCCCGGCCGACCGGCGCACAATGCCCAGCCGCAGAGCTGCAGCGGTGCGCCCATTCCGCTGTCCGAGCTGAGGGCCAGAGAGCGGTGAGTAGAGGCGAGGCGAGGCCTTGGATCTGCGGCACGCAGAACAGACAGAACAGAAAAGAATCTGATGCAATCCTCTATCGACTCTCTATCGATCAGGGCGCAGCGGTGCAAGCGAATGGGAAAGTCGATCGAGAGACAGGCGCGCAAGCTGCGACTCAAGGGAATCGAAGTGAATATGGAACGTTTGAGGGCTGACTATTTGGCGGCCCACAAGGACGACTGGCAGGTATTGGAACTGGGACTGGGGCATGGCTACGTCGACGACGAGGAGGAGGAGCAGGAGGATGATGAGGAGGAGGAGCATGACGATGAGCTGCCCATCGATGTGGTGAGCGTGGGCGACAGTCAGGACAACTCGTACAGCTCCTCGAGGACCTACCAAAGGAGCATCGGCAGCGAGCCCGACGAGCATCGAGGCCGCGTGATGATCAAACTGGAGCCACCACCAAAAGGTGCCCCTCCCCTCCCAGCACAAGGGTCTCTACAACTCGCCCTTCAGCATCGAATCCCTTTTGGGAACATAACGAATGTCGATATCGATATCGATAGCAGATGGAACGAATAGATTTGGATTTGGTGACTAGCTAAAGACTTAAGTATACAATTTCCCCACATGACACCTAGCCCCGCGTTTTCTTCTTTCGTTTTGCGGGGGCTACTTGGGGCTAAGTATGTGAATGCGAGTGGCAGTATGAATACGCTTGTGTGAATACGCATATCCGTAGGAATTTTAATTTCCAGCAAACTGCCCGCCGGGCCCAGTCCTGCCACGCAACCGTGACGCAAGCGGCCAGGAGGTTGGCAGCAGCCGAAGAAGAAGTAGGAGGAGGAGGAAGTGATGGAGATGGAGGACGGCGGAGGACGTTGCAGGAGTGGCAAAAGGCGGCGGCAGTGGTGCATCCATCAAGTTCACACGCAGCACACGCACCGTGGAATGGATCGCACAGAATGTGCATCCATGTGATTATCGATAGATGCAGGCGATAATCGATGAGTTGAGTTATGGGGAATCGATATACATGAAGCTATCTATGTGTGAGAAATATAATAAATGCAAGTGTCTATTTTCGCTATTCGATATTCGATTTATTACCATTTCGATTATTAATCAAAGTGCAGATATCGCTGTAAACTATCTGCATTCAGCTATCGATGGAACCAGACATTTAATTGCTGATTTCTTACGAAAGTTGTTACCCTTTTGATATATTCCGGAAGTTATCCATAGAAAAACGTTGACTCATCGAAATGACCTTTTATCGATAAGCTTAGACAATTTTAAACGATTCTAGCCTAGATATTTGTTATCTACATATGCAAGTGCAGATATTTTCTTGATAGAAATTGATTTACTTATCATTGGTTGCTAATTTCCATTAACCTAAACCCACGGTGCACCGTGCAACTGTATCACTGAGCGCATTATCAGCATCAGTCTCAGTCCCAGTACCAGTCACAGGTTCAGCTCCACTCTGGACTCGTAGCTGGAGTCTCGACCTCGGCCTGGATGGCCAAGAGGCAATTTCGAAAATGCAGTCAGAGAGCAAAGACAGCGACAGGGCCAGACACAGAAACAGAAACAGCAACAGAGACAGGGACAGGGACAGGGACAGGGACAGAGACAGAGACACCGGCCCAGAGATGGAGATGGAGGCCGACGCAGAAATGTAATACACACATCAGGCAAATAAATTAGAAGGCAACTCCTTCGGCAGAAGCGTCAGGTAAGCCGCGCCCCCCGTTCGCGCTTCAGAGTCATGGTGTCAGGGGTGCAAGGGTGCAAGGGTGCACCGACTTCACTCGTACAGTCGTACAAAATGGAGCCGAAAACAGGCAACGCGCAAGGCAAGGGAAGGCAGAAAGTCGGAGAGTCGGAGAGTAATGCAGACAATCCGTCATGCAGGTGTGAATGATTCATTAATTTCTCGCCTTCATACGAATTTTCAGTTAACATGCAAGCGGAACCGAAACGAGCCTCAAAAGAGTTACGCAGCGCAAGGCAGAGGCAGGAGATGCCGAATGGGAATGGCTATAGAGGGTACGGGTATGGGTATGGTTATGTGTGTTGGGTTTGGGTTTGGGTTTGGGGATGGACGAACGATGACTTTAACTGGGACGTATGCCTGGCAGCTCTCAGCTTTTAGCCCCCCTCCTCCCCATTTCCCATTCCCCATCTTGAGCTCTCCAGCTTGGAGCTTCGAGCTTAACGTCTTCATTACGCACGGCCATGGCCCACGTTTCCGCTTCCAACTCCTTGCCACTGGCCACGGGCCGCCTCTGCCCCAGAACCAGCACCAGCACCAGCACCAGAACCAGACGCTGATCTCTGTCTCTGACTCCAAATCTGACTTGGTTGCCAATTTCGTTTTGCATTTTCAATTTTGTGGCATTTCCTTTTGCTGTATACTGGAACGGAACACTGCACGAGCAATGGACCAGTGAGCCACTCAGCCATCCAGCCATCAGCGGGTGGCCGGGTAAGCGCAGCTGGTGAGGATTGTGCTGCAGATCGTTGAGCGTTAATTAGTTGATGATCAGCCAAAAGATCAAATGCCAATTAACGATCGAAAGTGCACACATTAGTTGCAATTTGGATGTGGTTTATCGGCTATGATTGGGAATTAAGGCAGGGAGAATCCTAGGGCAAATCAAGACCTGATGGAATAGGGATGAGGGTAAGGGTAAGTATCACTCCCCTGACCTATGATTGTGTGCTTCCCATGCTCTGAATGCTCTGAGGTATATTTCACACGAATTCCCATAGCGTTCAATCCTCTGAAGTGTGGACCCTGGCTTCGTTTTGGGCCATAAAAAGCCCTGAATGATCTTTTGCCTGCTGTTCTGCTGTTTGCTGTTTGTTGTTTGTTGTGTTGCCCTGTTGGATCTTAATACAACAACAATTCATATTTTTTATTACACCTACTTTGGGGCCAAAAGCAAAAGATCGGACAAGCCCGAGCTCGAGCCCGAGCCCCCCAAAATGAAGGCGTTAACCAACTTTAATACATTTATTTGGGCCACAAAGCGAGTCGCCTTTCTGCAGGATTGCGACTGCGACTGCCACTGAGGCTTGAAGGTTGAGGTTGAGGTTGAGGCTGTAGCTGAAGCTGGAGCTGGGATCCATGGCGCAGGCGCAGCAGACGTTGCCATATCTGTCCAAAGTAATAATTATGTTTCACGTTGTTATCCTAATTTACGTGCCCCAGAACAGAGCTAAACAGAGTCCGTACCCCAAAACGTCCACCGAAAGTGAACCTCAAACTGGAGTCGACTCTGCGTGTCTGTTGGTGCCCCAGGCCCCCAGGGGCAAGGCGGCTGTCGCTGTCGCTCTCGCTCTCGCTCTCGCTGTGGCTGTGAGGCCGAGAACGAACTCGGGGCTTGCTGCTCATCATCATCGTTCGGCGGCGGCGCATTTCACTGGAAAAATATTAAACACAAAGCGAGATACTGAAAATTGATTTCTCACCTTCGTGCACGTTATGTTATGAAGGTGTCCGTCTGTCTGTCTGTCCGCCTGTCTGTCTGTCCAGTGTGTCTGTCTCTTCTGCCTGTCTCTAGACTCTTTGTGCTTTATAATTAATTAATACATACCTGTACCCTCTACCCTGTAGCCTGTAGCCCCTACCCCTGTATCTCTGTGTCCCTGTATCCCTCTATCCCTGTATCTATACCTGTAGCCGGTCCAAGTGCCCGCAACCGTATAAATATGCGGATTTGGATGTGTTTTGCTTGGGTCGTGATTTGCACGCCCGCCGCGAATTTCATTTGACGAGAGACACACCACACCACACAGCACCACACAGCACCACACAGCACCGCACACACACACAAAACAACAAACAAAAAAAAAAAACATTTCAATAATCATAATCTCTGTGGAAGGGAGAATCCCAGACAGAGAACCTACCAGACAGCCTGTCGCAGCTCCATTCTCCAGCAGAGAGTGCTCCTCGTACTCCTACTCCTACTCCTACTTGTACCTCCCCCCTACCCTTGCCCTGCTGGCATCCAGCTGGTGTGCTCTCCTCACTCGTAAATTAACATTTATCTGTGAATTTATTGCATCATCGAGAAAAGTTTTCAATTCGCTGGAGAAGCTTCAGAGACGCAGACGCAGATGCAGACAGAGGCGAAGACCCAAAACCAAAACCCCAGAGACAGTGGAACGGTACTGAAGAACAGATGGCTCCAAAGGTGTCTGGAGCCCCCGGAAACCCCCCTTCTTGCAGCACCTGTTGGTCAATGGGAAATTTATTTGTCATTCATCTTGCGCCATTTGTCGTGGCTTTTAATTTGCTTTCAAAAAAACGCAGCTTAGTTTTCCATTTCGGTTAAGTCTCAAGTGAGCAGCAGCAGCAGCATTCCCTTTCCCAGCGATTGAGTTACGATGATGCCACGATAGGTTGAGGGGCAAAGTTGATTGGGTTTTCCAAATGGAAAGTCGAATGGAATGCAAATCGATCGCGAGAATCGTGATGCTCCTTTGGAAAGGAGCGAAGTTCCTAGTTGGGATTCAGATTTGCATTAATCGCCATTCAGAATCGGAAGATCACATTCTAAGGGATAAATACAATGTACATATATTTTGGATGATTCCCTCTGAGGTTTTTCAAGCTCTAAAGGGTATTCAAAATATCGTTTAGTTTGCGCTGTGTCTGCGTTTTCTAAGCTGGTTTTTCTCCATATTGTTTGAGGGCTCAGTCAGACACACACACAGAAACAGACAGGCAGGCACAGTCACCGTTGCATGCCCCAACAGCGCAGCTCTGCTGCCCGTGGATGTGACATTTTAAAATGAGCATGGCATATAAAAATTTGTATGATATGATTTTTATAGACTTCAAATCGATTTTTTTATGATCATCGTTGGCTCTTTTTATGCGCTCGCCGCTGCTTTATGTGACAGCAGAGCAGTGGGGGGGCGGCGGGGCGATGTGCAGAGGTATGGTGTGCCATGGAATGGGATTTTCAGATCGGTTTGGTATGCTTTTTTTTTTTTGATGTAATTATGTAATTATGTGCTAAGGCAAACAATTCGAGAGAGTCACAAATATTTATGTTATGTCGGATTGTGGATTGTGGATTGTGGAGAGCTGTCGATGATGATGATGATGATGATGATAATGATGATGATAATGTGGAGAAAGAGACCGTTAGGCCGTATTGCCTTATCGATGCACTGGCATCGCAGGAGATTGAGGCATAATGCCATATGCTGCCACAGCCACAGCAACACCAACAGCAACAGCGACGCAGCCAATATCCGGTGCCTCTTGTGGCGGCCACCTGTTGTGCCCCTTTTTCTATGTGCGCAGCATTTTTAATTTAATTTTTTGCATTCTCCTTTATTTGCAAAAACTTAAATTATTTCGTGCAGGCTTCAACTTCGAACCTTACCATCCACATCCACATCCACATGCTCGCCCTCGTCCTCGCTGGTGATTAATAAAGCCCCAGTACCAGTACCAGTCCCAGCCCCAAGATGATGGGCAACAGCTGGCATCGGTAGCAAACAGCAAACAGCAACAGCCGCCAATTGGCTTTACCAATCGATTGGTTGGGTACAGGAAGAGCAGACACCCAGAGATACCTTCCGTTTAGAGTTAAGTTTCTTTTTATTGACAATACGATCCATATCGATCGATCGATCCTTATGCTACACCATACAAAACTATTTACAAAGGGGGGAAGGGGGCAGTGCAGTGGGCATGCGCTTGTCTCATGTCTTGAGCACCGTGTTGGCAGTCGCCTCCTGGTGATAGCCGATGCGCAGCCGATGGTAGGCACAGGCCACGCGGCATCCCTGTCTGCAGAACTCCCGATCCGCGCACATCGAGGTGGCCAGACTTATCTGGGCCACGGCCAGGACGCGACAGTAGTCGTGGCACATGAAGCAGTCGGGCCTGCCGCGGCACAGGACAGGTGGGGTTGGATCCGCCAGAGCTTGGCGGTAGCAGAGCTCCCTGCACTGGGCTATCCGCAGCGGACGTCGCTCCTCCGTCGACTGTGCTGCAATGGCGGCGCCCAGCGCACTACCAGCGAGGGCAAGCACAGAGATGATGCAAATACAAGTGCAGGTCCTGGATGTGGTCTTCATGGCTGATATTCAGTTGTGGCTTCAGTGTGGTGTTGGTGCAGCAGCTCTTGATGTGGCAGTTGTGGATCGTTTGACGTTTTCTTGGCTTCTGGTGCTGTCGATCGTCTGGCTTTGCCTTATATCTCCCCCCACCGACCCGCAGGGGTTTCATTCACAAAAACGCCCGGAAAATCCCGGATCGATGACTACCTGATCCCGGATATTACCTAGGCTCTGGGTCGAGGATTGGGATCGGCATCTGATCCGTCTGAAGGTAATTGCTAACACGTGTGCGCACACACGACCGGACCGTAACCACGCGCAGCTTCATGAATGGTGAGCACGAATGGAAATCCCTAGGAATTTCCAGCCATTGATGATGGCTTTGGGTACAAGCCAGTCGTTACCTGTTACCTGTCACCAGATCCCGATGCCCAGTGACAGTTTTTATTATTGCGTAATACGTTTCTGTCCGACCTGATCCCACAGTCGTTACGATTATATATCCCAAAACCAACACTACCTGGAGACTGTTCATATCCATTCATTTGCCTCGCCAGAAAGTGAGCATATTCGATGCAAAACGGACAGGGTGGCGTCATCTAGCCGTCCAGCCTGCTGCTTCGCGCCATCTACTTTACAGAGTTAATATTCATAGGATCAAGTTAGAAAAAGCAAATAAAAGACGGAGCCACAGTATTTATGTATTATTATGTATGTACTATGTAGCATGCATGTACCTTTGCATGTAAAAGTCAAGTAGCAAAACATTTGGTGGCAAGTTCTTACGCCAGTGTCGCTTTGGATAGTTCACCTCTGGCAGCACTTCTCCTTTAACAGTCGCGCTGTTACTGTTGCTGTTATTGACTAACTTTACAGTCGTTCAAACTCGTCGCTCTCTGTTAGTAAAGGAAATTTTTTAAAAACACAACCATTTTTTTGTTTTTTTTTGTTTGGGTTTTTTTTTTTTTTAATTTTTTTTTTTTTATTTTTTAAAAAAAAAGTTAATAAACAGTAGTCTGTTACGAAATCATATCTACATGCCAAAAAAAACTCGTCAAAAAGGAAGAAGAAGAAAAAATATCGCGATAGTATTCAATTTTTTTTTCAAAACATCCAAATACGAGATGCACAAATACATTTTTTTTTTGTCAAACTTTGGTTATAATTTTATTCAATATCTTAACTTGTTCGTCCTTCACACAACATCCTTCCTTCTCACCCCCTCCTTCCTCACCAGCGGCTTGGCTTGGCTTTCCCTTTTTGATCTTCTCTTCTGTTTCATGCGCTTCATCTTTTAGCCGTGTGTGAGAGGGGGAGTGGATGGTTTGTTTTCACATTTCACGTTTCTTCTTTTGTTTAAACATATATTGAGAAATTATTTATAATATATGTGCAGACCATATGTGTATCTGTATATATCTGTAGTTTATATATTAAACATGTAGTATAATTTATGTAGCATACACACACAAAAAAAAAAGTTCTAAAAAAAAATAAACAAAAAGTATCCTTAAGACGAAAACGTTGACGGTGTGGTGTGGTATGTCCTTAAGAGACAGTATCTTTGTATCTTGTGGTGCCACACCGTCTGTATCTGTATCTTCACGGCTCCCCAGCGTTCGTCATTCCCCTGCTCCTGTTCCTGTTTCTGTTCGTCCTCGTCATTCACTGTGGCTTCTGGTTCTTTGGTGGTGGCGTTTGGTGCTGCTGCTGCTGCTGCGCCTGCTGCTGGGTCTCGTATCGCTGTCGCAGGGCGGTGAGGGCGCTCAGGAGTCGACTATTGGCCGCATCCAGTGCCGCAATCTGCTGGCCCTGCTCCTCGATGACGCGCTGCTTGTGGGACAGCGCCAGCGACATCTTTAGCTGCTCTCGACGCAGCTCCTCCTCCATGGTAATGAGTCTGCCAAATGAAAGACTGCCCCATTAGAAACTGAGGAAGAGAACGATTCCCCTCTAGTACACTCACCTATCGATGATGCTGCGCATGGTGGACTCGGACTGGAGGCTCAGATTGTTGCTACCATTGCTGCCGTTGCTACCGGCGGCCCGTTGCAGGAACAACTCATCGCTGGAGTCCCGCAGCTCGGCCTCGTCCCTGTCGAGGGTGTGCCGCAGCGTGTCCAGCGTCTGCTGCAGCAGCTGAATCTCCCCATTCTGATCGTAGACCTTTCCCAGTCCCGATTCCGAGGTGCTGCCTGCTCCTCCTCCACCTCCACCTCCTCCGCTGCTGCGCAACTGACGCCGTCGCTTCCCCTCCTGCAGTTGACTGCAGTGTCCTGTAGGAGACAAGGGAGTGCGCGTTAGTTCGCTGGAACCTGGAGAAAAACCTCTCGTTTGCTTACCCTCTGTGTCCGTGCTGCTGTCAGAGAGCGTGCGCGCCGAATCCAGGCTGAGACGTCGCTGGGCCGCCGAGGTCGAGGAGCCCACACTGCCGGCCGTGCTTCCAGGATACTGCTGCTTCATATGCTCCTGCAGCTGCTGCTGCTGCTGAACCAGCTGTTGGTGGTGATGCGGATGCGGATGCTGATGGTGTCCGGGTGTGGACATGGCATAGCCAATGCTCACGCCCCCGGCACTGCCGTAAACATCCTCGCGCTTCAGTGGCCCCCCACCGTTGAGCCGTCCGTACGCCGATGCTGAGGCTGAGCCTTTGCCACCCAGATTCGAGACCGATGCCGACGCCGAGGAGCTACTGCCGCCGCTGAGGGAACGCTGGGCTTCCATTTTGGTGGAAGCGGCACCTGCTCCGGCAGCCGCGGCCGCCGCATAGCTGTAGTAATTCTCCGCCGACAGCTGCTCGTCCGAGGAGCTGGGAGTCAGGGTGGCCGGATCCAAGGCACCACCGCTGTTGAGGAAGGCGGCACGGGCGGCCACCACCCCAGCACCGAGAGGCTTCTTCAGGCGCTGGCCAAACTGCTGCTGCTGCTGCTGTTGAGGAGTGGCTGTGGATGAAGCGGTGGTTCCTCCTCTGGGCTGAGGTCCATTCTGCAGCTGATACGAGGGATTCTTGAAGGCCAGCGGTGCATTGTGATGCGGATGATTCATTGCTGCCTTCAGCTGGCTCTCCACGGGACTGGAGGACTGCGAGGGCGACGGATTGGTGGAGATGCTCTGATAGCCAGAGCTGCAGTGGCTGCTCTTGGCCGACAGTTGCTCCTTGATGGAGGAGCTGCTCCCTGGAGCTGCTGCTGCTGCAGCTGCAGCTGCTGCGGGCATGGGCTTTAGGTGTCCTCCCTGCTGGGTATGCTGGTGATGCTCTGCCACATCATGCTCTTCCGCATACTTGAAGAGATCATCAAGATCCTCCAGATTCTTGGGCATATTCGAGTTGGGATTGAGGTTCGACTGGAGCTGCTGCTGCTGTCGCGGATAGCCCGTTCCCGATCCCGATCCGGAGTGATCCGGTATTCCCAGATTCAGTTTATGCTGATGCATGCGTCCCGCACCCCCGCTGTCACACCACCCAGTCCCCCACCGCTCGTGGACTTCATCATGGGCGTGGGTGACTTGCGTACAAAAGCGCTGCTTGTGTCGAGGCCAGAGATCTGGATCTGGAACTCCCTGTCATGCATATCATCATAGCTGCTGTTGTTATTGTTATTCGGATTGCCAGCGCCATTGCCAGGACTTCCATGGCCATTGCCATTACCATTCCCATTCCGTGGCAGTGTCCTGGATCTGGTGGTGGATGAGGGACTCTGACTGTGGCTGCCCTCGTACTCGTTGCCATTCTGATGGCCATGGCCATGGCCATGGATATGCCCAGAGCCATTGACCACATACTGATAGGACTGACCGAGACGTTCCATGCGATCCATACGTTCCATTGTACTCGAGGCACTCGTCTGCGGTCCTGGCGGACAGTGCAGATGCTGCGACGGATGATGCGAGTGCAGCTGTTGTTGTTGCTGTTTGCTGCGTATGCGAATGCAACAGATTGCTGCTGCTGCCATTCAACGATGATGAAGCCATTGAACTCTGCGATTGGGCATGCTGCAGTCCTCCGACGTACTGCTGCCCCACCCCCACTCCTGCAATGGAGCTCTGTGAGTTAGAGAGCAACTGCATCGGATGCTGTTGCTGCTGTTGTTGCTGCTGCTGTTGGAGGAGTATTCCATTGACTGTGGGATCGTTATACCGAAAGATATTCTTCTCCAGAGAATTGGGAGTCAGGACACCCCTCATGATGCCCCGCTCTGCGGACAGGGGTTTGCTCACAATCGCATGCTGCGGCTGTGCCAGCTGTGTCTGCTGTGGCAGCAGCTCGGCCAGACCCCCGCCAGCTGACGAGGAGGAGCTGGCAGCCATAGCCATTCCCATTCCCATGACCATGCCCCCTCCAGTGCTGCTGGGCTGTCGGTTCTCCTGATTCTCGCTGGTGGCTATCGAATGCGTGGATGTGGGCAGATATCCCCCTGGCAGTGCCATCCCGAGGCTTCCCTGCTCTCTGGTCTTGGTTATGTCATCGAGGATATGCTGCAGGGGATCCAGCTCGTGCTGTCGTGCCTCCGGCAGCTTGGCCAGACTCTCGCTGAGCAGACTATGAAGAATCGATAGCTGCTTGCCCTGGTCGATGTACCCCGCCCAATCCAGTATCGAGTCGGGGGTCGGGTGCTCTGGTCGCGTGGAGATTATCTCCAGGAACTGCTGCATGCGATCGGCCTCCTGTTCGAGGAAATCATTCAGGAACTCCATAAAGTTCTCCTTGCCCTGGAAGCGGGTGAAGTTGGCCAGCGTCTGGAGGGTCTTGGCGACGAGCGTGAGGTTGCGTGTGGCCCGCGCCGACGGCAGTTCGCTGGTGATATTAAACAGAGACGGCGACAGTATGGCCGGGCACAGGAATCGCAGAAAAATGCTGGCCGATATCAAATTGTCGGCCATATCCTGACGCCCCAGCTGCTGCAGACGCTCGCGGAACGTGGCAAAGCAATTGCGCAGCTGGGCGGGGAAATGCTTGTGCGACTCGTAGATGCATTGCCAGGCATTCCGGACGGCGGCACGCAGAGCCGCCTGCTGGCGCTGCAGGGACCCCGCCGAGGAGCCACTCGCCTTTGTGGGGTCCACTTCGCAGTCGCGCTCCGAATGGATAAGCTCGTTAATGGGCGCCGAGAGGGTGTCCTGCAGATACTGTTCGCCCGTCAGCTTCAGGAATGCCTCCATGCTTTTGGTGGCCAGGGAATTACCACGGAACGTGAGCCTTTGATCACCCACGCGCAACAGATCGAGGGCCACCACGTCGGTGAGGAAGGCGCCGGCGAGCCCCTGGGCATGCATCAGCAGGACCAAGGCCTGGCCAATGTCCTCCTTGGCCTTGACACCAATCACCGGTTCGAGCGTCTCGCACACGCGCTTGTAATTATCCTTCAGATAGGCCAGAAAGTTGCCGTAGATATTGATTGGCAGGATGTCGGTGCTCTGCAAACGGCATTTGATGCGCAGCGTTGGTACCTGCTCCTTCTCGCGATCCTTGCCGCCGCTGCCGTTGCTCTCCTTGCCATTGCCCGAGTGCCGGCCAAGGCTATCGCCGGCCTTCTCGCTGAGTATCGGATACCAGTGCTCGCAGGGCAGCCGCGAGGTCACCTCATGCACGGGTATCTTCACGGAGCCGACAAACTGATACTTGTCCCGCTTCTTCTTTTTGTCCACCTCCCGGAACACATTCACGGTGATCACATTGATCTCCGGTATGTCCGGGAAATCGAAATGCTCGCCCCAAAACAACAGATCCGTCTGCAGCTTGACGCTCGTCCGCCCATACAGTGTCTTGTCCAGCTGCAGTTCGCAAAAGTACTTCTTCTTGGCGGGCAGATTCTTGGCCTCGTACACCCACATCTTCAGGGAGTTGTCGGTGCGACGGGTGTGCTCTGCATTCGGGGCTATCGATTTGCGCAGCGAATATATCCATAGGTCACGCTCCTGCCGCGATCCGCACGAGTAGTAGCGTTCGCCGCGTGGTCCGCCGCGCACTTGGAAGCAATGTCTGCGTCCCAGCACCGATTGATGGACGGGTGCCACACCCACAGCCCCAGTGCAGGAGAGATCTAAACGATGTCAGGTGGAGGAAGTAAAGTATTAACAAACAAACTCTCGTTTTTATGGATTAGTGTTGCCACTCACCAATTGTGGACATGACCGCATGACTCGATAGCAGACTCTCATGCGAACGAGAGCCTCTCAATCCGCCCGATCCACGCTTTGTGCGTTCCAGTTTGGTCACCGATTTGGTACGCTTCAAAGGATTGGATCTAAAAAAAAAACAGAACAGAACAGAAGGAGGTTACAGAGAGGTTTCCTCTTTTTTTATTTATCTTTGCTTACTTTTTGGTAAAGAAATTTGTAAAACGCGATGTGGCATTGTGCTCCTGCTGCTGATGCTGTTTGCTACCCAAAATGGGCGTTGTGGGCGCTGATCCCCGACGACAGGCCTTCTCATAGGAAGTATCTGCAAAAAACAAAAGCGGAGCGGAGAATTAGCGTTCCTGTGGCGATATGTATATCCTTTTTTATTTGCCGTTTCCGGAACGGAATCCCCTTCCTTTTTGAAGGAGTAATACCCTATAATCCCATCTCGACAAATGATGCACTCTTCCTGCTCGGCTTTGCTCGGTGTTGCCCCATTTTTGTGTGTCCCCCCATTGTTGTTAAAATTCTTTTGGTTTTTGGTTTTTTTTTTTTTTTTTGAGCAAAACAGGTTTCTCTTTGGAAGAACAAAAGAACGAACAGGAGAGCAAGACCCGTCATCAAAGAAGCAGCTGCTGCTGCACACATCACCTGTCCCCTGCAACGCCCCCTTCTACGACCCTGTGCCAGAGAAACCATCAGAGGCAGAGTCCAGTCCATCAGGTACCGCATATGATTCATCATGTGCCTCATTACGGGAGGGATAAGAGGGAAGCTCTTGCTGTTGTGGCTGTGGCTGCGGCTGCGGCTCAAAACAGGTTCCCAATCTTCTTCTCATTTGTATCTTCCATCTCGGAGCAAACATCTTTTTCTTCTGCTTCTGCTTCTGATGCTGCTGCCGCCCGCACAAATGCGACCTTGTCTCGCAGCAACAGCAACAGCAGCACAAGACCACCCAAGAGGCTGAGGCCGAAGCTGAAGCTGCCGCCTGCCTGCCTGCTAACCCCCCCAAAGTCAGGCTGTGACTCATTTAAAAAGAGCAAACATCGTTCCATAATGCACACACATATCCTTCCGCATTCCCCATTCATTTATTCATTCATTGGATACACTCCCATTCCCATTTTATCCGCCCAAGAGATGCAAACAGGCCGATATGAGTATATTGCCACGCAACAGGAACTTCATTGGGGTTCGTTTCGGGTCGTTCACCGTGTGAGGGAGAACAATTATTCAGCATTAATCTTCCATATGACATCGCCAAAATGCATTGATAAGGTGAAGATGTACATTAAAAAATATCCTTAACTCAGTTTTTGTACATTTGTATCTCTTCTTGGCAAAACAAAAACGGCTAAAAGTCTTACTGCACTCTCTACGATTTTAGTAATAAATAAATACTAAATAAACATAGCTTTTTTCTTTGGTTTACCTTTAAAATTTCTTGATTTTATAGGTGTACCTTGAACACAAAAAGTTGGCGGAACACTGATCTAAACGACTCTAAGCGCTATGATAGTGCGGTATCCAACCGAAATCATCCAAAGAAACAAAAACCAAAAAAATACACCTGACGAAAATGGCACATTTTGTAGGCTCACGCCCCAAAAAGCAAACGACCACGCAAAAGAACCGCCTCCCCATAGTTGGAATATATATGCATACAAAATGTCCATATATTTAGATGATGAAGAGGTATGGGCATGTCACGAGCAGAGGCAGTGAGTACCCGCCACAAAAACATATTCCAAAAATAAAGACAACATCGGAATATTCTTACTGCTAAGCCGCACCCTCTAAAGTACTGGTTCGACGTGGTCCATTCGGGGCTCCCACTTCAGACTGAGAAATTGGCGCCGCTTTGAGGACTTGGAAATGGATCATCAGCTGCGTTTAATGGCTCAGAAAGTAACACACAAAAAACACGAAAAACTAACTCTAATCAGGAAACTCATCCATAGGATAGAGGACACACGTATCGGGTACATTTTCCCAGGGAATTTAAGTACTGAGAATAAACAAAAATACTTGTTTCACAACGAATTTGAGCATATAAAACGAGGTAAATAATTTACCGATTTCCCTTTAGATTTTAAATTAGAAATTAAATTAGACTTTGAAAAAATGTCTGATTTTGTCTTTTTTAATTTCTAAAACAATATAGACTCGGTTAAACAATTACTTAGGATACGCCCTCTCATTTGCCATTTCATTTCATCGTTTTATGCAAAAGTGAAACTCCCACAAGCTGCAAAAACAATATACATTGCGCGTACATGACACTAATAGGGAATTTTCTTGATTTTTTGTTTTTGTTCTGCCTGCCCACCCCTGGGTTCAATCACATAAATTCCATTCGAGTTCTAATTTGAAAATCATTCCAATCTTCCACTAGACCCCCCCCTACGCAAGTTTAAATGAATGGCTGTAAACAGCCTTCTTTTTTTTTTTTTGGAGCGAAGAAGATCATCAGCCTAGAGATCAACATAGTAGAGATCACTTATATGGTCAGGTGAAGTCAGACTCAAACCCAGACCCAGTTCCAGGGCATTTTACAGCCATTCCCCCACTCCATATGTGGGGTATGTGTAATGATTCGTTGCTTAAATATTATGAATGATGCTCTTTTGAATTTTGTCGACCTCCTCCGGAGGAGATCATCATCATCGTCATCTCCAAAACAAAAATCTCTGAATATTGGCTCACCATTTGACTCATCAAAAAGCGCACAACATTTCTGTGAGGTTGGGTTTTTTTTTCAAAATTCTTCCAATTAAAACTGATTTTAAAAGTTTGAGGCATGGCATGGATAGTGAAAGCGCGATAAGAAAACAGACTAGACTCAATGTACAGGCAAAACGAATGGGGAAAACTTCGATGGACGGATCGAATCGGATCGGTTACCTTGTGGCGGGGCGGTGCATCTGCTGCTAAACGTGCGATAAGGTCGCCCAATTATCACCACGTTAAACCAAATGTGTGTATGCGTGTGTGGGGTGGAAAATGTGGAAAATGAAAGGCGACACGGGGCTGACGGACGATAATAAGACGAGAATCAATAAAATAAACCAAGAGAGATGGCAAACAAACATCTGGTCTGGTCAGAATATCCCCGGACTTCCACACAAATCATAGATCATAAATTTTCCTTTCAGTTTTCATAATGTTTGCTCTTCTTCTTAGTCTTTCTCCTCCATTCCGTTTATGTTATTTTCTTCTATTTCTTGTGTGTGTTGTGTGTGTTGGTTGTGTGTGCGTGACAACAGCTTTATCGACAAAAAAAAAAACAAATACAACCTCCTTTGGGTGAATGTCGTTACAAAAGCGTTTTTCGTCTTATCAAATTACAAATAAAAACGCAACTGCAACTGCAGCTGACCTCGTCACACCCCCACCACATTCCCTTGGCCATAGCCGCACACTCTTACAGTTCCGTTCCTGTGTATCAAAAAGCAAGATAGAGAATGACAGAGCGAGACGGTGGTACCATGCATGGCTCCTGCAAAGCTATATCCTATTGATGGGTAGGGCAATCGACACTTGTGTGCCGAATGAAGATGGGCTCTGTCGGACACTGCCTAACCTTACTCACAAAATATGCCTTGCAGAAAAACAAAACAAAAACATATATACATACATAGGCCAGCAGCAACAACAATTTTAGTTTTAAAATAAAGCCGCTCGTTTGTTTAGCATTTATTCCGCTCTCTTTTCCATTCCCGCACAAACGATCACATTTGTTTGCCCGCTCTCTTTCTCTCTTCTCGTTGACTGCTCTCGCTGCTGCTTGCTGATGCTTCTGCTCAAAACTGGTTTCTTGTGCGGGTGTCTGTATGTTTGTGTGCGAGTGTGGTGTGTGTATGTGAATCATAATCAAAAACAGCAACAAAGCCACAAAATTGAATTTGTAGCCAAAGAGAGCGAGTGGTAGAGAAGAGGGGTTACGGAGTGAAGGGAGGGGGTTACGGAGTGAAGGGGTGTAAGAGCAAAGCAAGCAAGCTAAAGAAACGGCAGCGACGCCGCAGTCGCCGACAATAAACACACACACACACAACACAAATTAACCAAAATGAGCTGCAAATTTCAATGCAAATTTTTGTTCATAGCATTCAATTGACAATTTTAACGGTATCAATCGATGGATGGGACCTCTGGGTTCAATCTGTATGTCTCGTCTCTCATTTGAAATGCAGCTCACTTGGGGCGCTTCCAAGTACATACTCCCCATATGTATGTATGGCAAACTGATTCCAATTCACAATACAATGTACATGTACGTACACATTTTAAGTAGTAAAGTAGAAAACTGCTGCGGCCATTCCTGGAATACAAAATCGAACTGCAAGAGGATGCCCGACAAACAGACAGACAGACAGAGGTACAGAGGCGGACAGCACAGCAGTCGGTACACTTTCCGATCATATTCGGTTCAGTTGAGTTCAATTCTATTTCATTTCAGTTCTCAGTTAAGGCCCATTGTGCGACGAAACGCTTGACTGCCGCTGCTTGCGTTTCGTCCCCATGGCCAACGAAATTGAGCTACAATTGAGGTAAACAATTGGGCTACGCTACGCAAAAGAATAAGAAGAAGAAGGAGAGCAAGAAGTAGAATGTAAAATTAGGAGTACAGCACCTATTTGACGCCCGCTCTCCAGTTGCCTTTGCTTATTCTGCTGCTGGAAAGATGATGATGATGATGTCTGATGCAAAGGCGTCTGCAAAACGTCGCAAAAAGCAACGAACGAAACAGGAAGGCTTAATAATAAGAGCGGGATAATGGAATGGTGGAATGGGGTACGGTATTGGAATTCTCAGGGTGTGGGGTGTGTGTGTGTGCTAGGGGCCATCTTATCTTATCGTGACCCTACATATGTGCATGTGTATGTGTCGTAGTCGTCGTCTCCCCCCTTTCTCAGTCACTTTTTCTCTCACCAACCAGCAGAGCGTAAATATAATGCGAAAGCAAACGTATCGATATGAAATGGGGGGAAACGGATCGGATCGTTTCCAACCTTTTACCGAACCCTATTTTTGGGGGTTGTTCTTTCATTTTTTGAGTTTGGATCGATTGTAACAGGAAACAAAGGAAGGAAGAACTAACAAAGTAAAAATGGAAAAGAACGAAGGTAAGACTGAGACGGAAAATAAGACCTACCAGAATGATGTCCCGCATCATCGTCCGCTGTCACTGTTGTATCCTCCTCATCCACTGTTGTTGTTGTGGTGCATCCTTCGCCGGCCGTGACCGAGGCATTCGCTGTGGCATGCATCACCAGATCCTTGATCTTGAAACGCTCACAAATGAGCTCCTCGCAGTGATCCGTTTGAAAGTAGCTGTTCAGCTCGTCCAGACCCAGGGGGCAGACATCGTAGGGCAGATAAAAGTGCTTGCCCCAGCTGCCGGTGCCGATGCCACTGTCGCCAGCACAGCTGGACGACGCCGACAGCGAAAACTGACTGCTTGAGTGCATCATCAAGAGACTCTGGTGCGCAGACGCCACTTCTCCTCCTCCACCTCCTGCCGATCCCGCTCCCACTCCTCCCCCGATGGTCTTTAGCAGGGAATTGCTGCGCGACACCTTCGTGGAGTGGGCGCGTCGAATAAAGCTGAGCGATTTCTTGGGCGGCGAGCAGATCGCTGATGTGTGCACCGGCGGTGGACACGTGCCACCAGCAGTGGCATCCGCGGCCGTCAGCCTGGGCGTCGACTTGAGCAGAAAGAGGTTCTTCGGCGGGAAACTGTGCGTGATTATCGATGTGGCCGAGGAGCTGCCCTGCAGCTTGTAGGGCGAGGAAGCACTTTGCTCTGGCAAATGGCTTGCCGTACTCCCACCGAATAGTTGCCGCTGTTTGGGCAGGTTGTGCTGATGTGGATGCGGATACGGCTGGTGTAGAGCGGATGCCTCGCGAAGTGCTACTGACGGGGATAGGTTCTGGGGTAGGGTCTTCGATTTGGCTCGGAGCGTAATCAGCGTTGTGGTTGTCGTTGTCGTGGAACTGCTGCTGCCGCCGCCAGGTGATGACGCAGTAGCAGCTGCTGTTGCGAGCCCTCTCTCCACACTGGGCAGCGGTACGGCGAGTATATTCGTACGCGATCGCGACTTCATCAGCTTGATGGGCGTCGAGGTGTTCGTCTGCATGCGACTTATCTCTGAGTCATCGTCGTCGTCATTCGCTGTGGTTCCACCACCTTGGTTTACCGATGATACGCCCGACGACGACTGACGCGAATGGGCTGGGGATAAGGAGAGGGCCTGCTGCTTTGGCGGTGTCGGATTTGCCATCGCAATGTCCTGATCCTCATTAGAGTGGGTCCTGAGAGCGGCGGCGGCGGCACCATCAGCCTGGGCGGCCCCAGGACCACCCCCTCCGAATCGCAATCGCTGCTGCCATTGAGGCTGATCACATTCAACACGATACCATATCGCTTCAGCTTCGAGGGTGAGGCCGTGGAAGATGCTGCCGCCGATGGCAGCGATTTGAGCAACTGTTCGCGATGCATCGCCTCCAACGAATGCTCCTCATCATCATCCGAGTCGGAATACTGGGCGGCATTCTCGCTGCCGCTGATGCTCCAATTGAAGCCGCACGGCGGTGACATTTTGGTGACCTTGCCTCCTCCACTCTGGCTACCACTGCTGTGGCTGCGCTCAAAGAGCGCACTCACCTTGGCTACTCCGCTCTTAACGGAACCGGATTTCCTTAGGACAAAGTGTTTCGATGAGGAGGACTGCTTTTGGGGGGGATGACGTGTGGTATGTTCGGGTGTGTTATTGTTGTTGTTGTTGCTGCTGCTACTCAGGCTGGAGCTGCTGCTGCTGCCGCCGTAGGGGGAGGAGTCCTTCGGGTTTTGCTTCTTTATTCCCTCCGCTTTCTCCTCTTCTTCGTCTTCGATCACTAATGGCACGTAGAATGTGGAACGACGCCGTTGCGTTTTTTCCTCTGGCGTTGCTGTTACGTCTGTGTTTGTTGTTGTTGTAATGCTAGCGTCACTGGCGGCCGCCTGAAACATTTTGGTGTGTGCACCCGTTGTTTTCAATGGTCTTTGCTGCTGCTGCTGTGCGCAGGCGCCTCGCTGATCATTGCACACATACACACACACACACTCACGCACATACAACACTCACACACTCGCACACAAAAAGGAGACAGAAAGAGAGAGCAGAGTGGCCTCCGTCCCGTCCGTCCGTTCGTTTATGTGCAGGTATATTCTCTTCTTCTCCTTTTTCGTCTGCAATTTGCTGACAAGCAATTTCTTGCTCTGTTGCTGCTTCTTCTTCTGCTTCTTTTGTTGCTGTTTTTTTTTTGTTTTGTTTGCTGGTGTTGTTTTGTCGCTTGGTTTATAAAAATTATGCGCTCAAGTGCATTTCCGCGTTTGTAGTCAACGTTTTTTTTTCTTATTTCTTTCTCTTCTTTGATATCTCTGTTTTGTGGTTGCAATAGTCGTCGCTGTTGTTGTTTCTCTCGCTTGCTGCTGTTGTTGCTGCTTTTGTTTTGTGTCGTTCATCACTGTCGCGCATCACATTGTCGCTTGGTTAACTTTTGATTTGGTTTTTAGTTGCAGCAACAGTACTTCAGTGTGGCACACTCCACACACACACACAGACACAGGCAGAGACGCAAGAAGCACTGGAATGCCACCACACACACACACAACACGTTCGTGCACAGGACACAGTCGCGGGCACAACAGATGCTGCTGCATCAACACATTTGTTTCACATTAAAATGTATTAAAAGAATGTCCCAAAAGTGTCGGATGTCCACAAACCAGACAGGCGCAAGACCTCGAATCTTAAAACGGCAACAAAAAACACAATTGCTAGAACCACTTAAAAAAATAACAGCCCCGTAGAACGCAACAAACAAACAAAAAAAAAACAACTTTAATACGCGTGCGCGCGCTGCAACAATTTTAGAACACTATCCCTCTTTCAAGGGTATAAAAGGGTATCAAACGGCCGCGATGTAAAGCGAGCGACAAAAGAGAGCGGCAGCAACAAACGGTAATTAGCGCTCGCTGGCATAAATATACCATGAAAACCATTTTTCAAACCGGAGAACTCATTTTTGCGTTTAGAGCTTAACCCACTACGCCCCCGAATTTTTAATGAAGTGAACAACTGGGATTAAGCCACTGAAAATTATACTGTTTTTATATTCTTCTTGTATATCCATCTTTCCTCTTTCCCTACACACAAAATGTGCACGATAGCTTTCACCTGAACTGCTCTAAAATTCTTCGAATTTCATCAATTTCGTGCAGTGTATTTTAATACCCACTGGTCGACAATGGGTTAAACGGGGGAGTTGGTGTCGTGTCCCTACCTAATAAAATTATACCATGCGTTCATGTCGAAACGAAAACGAATCACAAGAGAAAAAGAGGAAGAGAGAGAGAGAGCAAGATCATCGAGAGAGTAAGGAGTTTGTGTGCCAGAGCGAGTAGGGGAAATGTGGGCCAGTGCGCGCCTAGAGAAATATTTAGAAAAAAACATTCCGTGGATGGTATTGGCAATACAGTTGCTTAATTCAATGAAATTGAAAATATTTAAAACTAAGGATTCGACCAAATTTGCTACCATCTATACTGACTGAATAGCACAAAATTCTCAAAAATATCTGATCAGTGATCACAAATGCAATAAGAATGAAACATTAGGAGATACATACATATTATAATAATACATACAATCAGTAATCAATGAAATCGCTCTGACATTCATTTACATATGCAGGTGTTAGCGATCGCTAGGAGAAAAATTCGAGCCCCCACCACCCCTTAAAGTGCATTTGATTGATCGATGTACCAAACCAATATGCCCTGCTTATGGCAGTAGGGGGTAGCGCGCACATAGTGTACAAAAAAAAGGAATGGAAAGCAACCCAAAAGAAACATAAGGGCGTGAGTGGCAATGTGCCTCGTAATTGATCTAATTGAGAGAGAACAGGTTTGTCTGTGTGCTGTGTGTGTGTGTGTGTGTGTGTCGGTATGCACGTGTGTGTGTATGCATGCATACACATTTGTAGGTCCCCACTACTTAGACGGCAGCCCGGGCAACGCATAATATAAGCAAATTAGAGAGTCCCCACCCCACCCCTCGTAACACACCGCTCTACTCTACCTTTACCAACATTCCTTCTCTTTCTGCCGCTAGGCACACAATTCTCCTCTTTCCACCCCCGCTTCAAGCAGCGGACATGCTCTCTGCGTTGCGGAAGTGCGTGACTAGAGGGTTTTATGCGACACGTTCGCCTCCGCTCCTTTACCATTTTTTACCTATAGACATTACCTTAACTTAACGGAACGGAACTGCGCGACTTGTTTACGAGCACCGGCATCGACTCGACAGTTCCATTTTCGTAAGCATTAGCCTAGGGCACAATGAACTGTTATGTCGCACATGGTGGCAGTGGGTTGGGGGGTGGGGAGAAAGAGTTTTCAACCCTATATCCCAAAGTGATCGTAACATAAGACATACATATGTACATATGTACATATATGTACTTACGTACGTATGGGCATTTCTCAAAACATTCCTTCCCTTTGTTACACTTCCGGACAGGAGGCCTTCCTTCTTTCCCCCTCCTCCTTCCCTTCTTTCAGACACTATTTCAACGGTTTCGCCTGTTTGCGGCCAAGCGGAGAACTAATCAAACAAAAATTAAAAATATTGCATACTTTCTGGGTTGGCGGTGTATAATCGATGTAGAACTCATGTATAATTGACATTCGAAGACATGGAGATATTATCTTTTATATTGATCGATTGGTATCAATTTTCTTATCAAATATCATAGGAACATCGCCACAAATGGTAGAGAAACGGATCCATCTATTATACATAATTTTTCCATCGATCATATCCATTCGCTCAGTTGATCTTTTCCCCATCTATAACTATTATCTATAACCTCTAACTAAATTGAAGATCGAAATAGCATGTATCACATATACATTACCAAAATTTCTATGTAAATAGCCCCAGACAGACAATTGTCTGCTCATCGAATGCCAGAGATAGTTCCTCCTATAATTCACACCCGCAGATAATGCGCTGGGGTGGCTACCCCCCCTTGCACCCACTGCTGTGCTCTGCTCTTGAACGATCACATTACGCTGAGCTGACAAAATAAAAAATACACGCCCCAGAACCCCGAGAGAGCTCCGAGCGCGAGTCGTCTGACGCATTAGTGGGTTTCTAGGTCTCTCCGAGCATTGGGTTTTTTTTTAGCACCACATGGAAATGTCAGCAAGCAAAACAATGTCAGCCCGTTGACGGGGGACAGAGAGATAGATGGTACCCAATCGCCCCATGCCCCAAATGGAATCCCCTCGATCCCAGATTAAGCCATAGAATCGATTCTGTTGTTACCTTCATTGAGGGATGTATCGTTTAGCGCCGTATCGAAATGTATGCGCGGCAGTGTCTTCGATTTGTACTCACCTGCAAATAGAAAAGACAATTCAAATGGATTAGTGTTAAATGCAAATTAATGGGCTGCTATTAAATGGTAATATATTGTAAAACGATGTGTGGAACAGTACCGTGGACCTGTGGCAGTGCGAAGTAATAAATAATAAATAAAGTAATACGAACTTACTTAATTGTTCAACTGCTGAACGTATATGTATCATATTTTCTTTTCCCATGGTTTTCCATATTTTTCGCATAATAAAGAACAACGATACACTTTTTAAAAAGTTAAATATTTCAAATATCTATTTAATCTATGGCCTTATAAAGCACATATAAATTTCTCCTAAGCGAACGGATACATGATAATAGCATAAACTTATCGATACGAACGATTCGCGGAGATACCAACAGCAAAAATTCTAAAAGTTTTGATTTAAAATCAAATCATTTTTCAATTTTGTAGAATGGAATGGAATTTTAGGATGAATATTATCGAAAGAAGGCATTCACGGGTGAACGCGGGATCCCAGTAAAACCAACGAATCAGCCATCGCATATACATTTGCTATTCGTTCTATTCGATCTATTCGATCTTGTGACATCTGACATTTCAAGTTTTGAGGAAGTTTAAGCTGTGTTTTGTACGCTTCTCGTACTTTTACTCTCGTATCTCGTATCTTTAAAGACTCGACTCGCCTTGAAGACCCATTTACATGGCCCCCCCTTCGACCTTTCGAGTGTTGCTGTCGCCTGTTGTTATGAATTCATTTCAATTAATGCAAAATATGAATACTTGTACAGCAGAGGGCGGCACAGGCAGAGGCAGACACATGTGTGGTGCTCATAGAGCAATTGAACTGGACTGGTTGACTGTGGCTCTGGCTCTGGCTGTCTCTGGGTTGACTGTAAAATGTGCAAATTCAGCGTAAAGGCGATACATAGCCCCAGATAGCCCCAACGACAAGATGCAGATACAGAACATGTAGAGCAAACTCATAAATTAAGCAATTGTTAGTGGGATATGGATGGATGGATGGATGACCCATGAGAAGTCTGGTGCCTGGTGCCTCTGGCTCTCAAAATTCCCATGATTTCCGATTATTTGTGGCATTATCTGCACTTCTGGCGGGTCATCGTTGTGCTTCAAAGCGGGTAATGACTGAAACTCCAATGATTCTCGATGATGTCACATATTAACATCCGTCGTCATGAGGCACAAAAGAATGATGACTCTCAGAGACATGGGAAGACATGGGAAGGAAAGGGGAGTTTGGATATACTTTGAATATACTTACTCCTGCCCGTAGCAGGCTCCAAAGTGGCACCACCACACGTTGCATTGGCTGGCACGGAACAGCGATCCTGCAGCTGCTGATGCTGCTGTTGTTGCTGGTCCTGCTGTTGCAACATCTGCAGCTGCTGCAGATCACAGTGCACCTCATGAATGGGCGGTGTGGGTGCATCATCCCGTTCGCCTCGCAAACAGGAGGCCAGGCCACGGCCCCTTGGTATTGTACTGCGTCGGAGAGCACCCGCCGCCGCGGGCGGTTGTTGCTCGATTGCCACCGCCCGGTGGCACTGGGATTGGGTGTGCTGCTGCTGCTGCAGCTGCAGCTGCAACTGCTGCAGTGGGGCTGTGCTGCGTGGCATGGAGTTCATTTTCGTTGTTTGCTGTTGTTGTTGTTGTTGCATATGCACCACTCCTCCTCCGCCTCCTCCATCGTTGACTGTGCGCAAAGCACCGCAGTTCATCCTTGATTTTGGTATTTATTTTGGTATTTGCTTGTGGTATTTTCTTAGTTTTTCTTTTTGGGTTGCAGTATTTTTTGTGGATTAATTTTGGGTTGGTTTTGTTTTTGTTTTGCGGTTTTTGGGGTTTTTTTTTCTATTTTTGGTTTTTTGCTTATTTTTGGTTTATTTCCTTAGCTTTGACATGGTCTGGTTGTGCCCTAAGGAAAGGAATACGGCCGATACACACACAAGTTAGGCTTAGAATACGCGCGCAACACTCACGAGAGGCGCCACCGAATGAGGCCGCAGGGCTGAGACGGACTTTTTGGCTTTTTGGTTTTGGTTTTGGTTTTTGTGGTTGCTCCGCTTGCCTGCGTCGGCAATTAAGATTTATGGTCATGGCGTGTTAACGTTGGCCCTCTCAAAAAGGGGCACAACCAACAACGCAGCGTGCCAGTGCCACTGGCTCTCTTACAGTCTTAAATCCCACTTTTTTTTGGGGGGAGGGCTTCTTCTCTTATATTTTGTGACTCTGAAAATTGTTCAACTAATTGTTTAACCAAATGGGTTGGGTTGGGTTGGGTTGGTTTGGTTCTTTTGGAAGCAAGCACGCGCGACTGCGCACTTTTCTCTACCAATTTCCACCAATTCCTTGCTATGCTTTACACTCTCTTTCGCGGCTTAAATGTTCCTTTTAACTTAGTAAATTTCATGCTTGTTGCCTTTTGGTGTAATGCCAATGTGAAACGGAATGGATTGGGCTTGAAAATATCAGGCTTGTGCGTGCAAATGCACACACACCCACCACAACCACCCACG